AAGTTTATTTTGTGAGCACTGGAGAGCATTTCCAAACCTTCTACATGCAATCCAATCTATAAAAACATTTCAGAACATCCTTCCCCAAACTGGGATACTTTCTCCATTGGGACTCCATTCACTGAGGTGTGTCATATAGGACCAGAAATCTCTAGCAATAGTTTCACTAGTAGCAGCTTTTCTTCAGAGTTCCTCCTGTCCCCAGCTGCCCTCAATCTCTGAACTTCTGTCCAGGGTAAACAGCTGCTCACAAGTCAGGACTACTCTCTTAGGAGTGTCCTTGAAGAGCCTAGGCTGAGATTTCCGGAGCGCTGCGGTGAGGGTGCAGGAAGGAGGCATCTGGTATGCAAAGCGTTTGCTTTTGGTCTTACCCATTCTTCCAGGAGCTGTGGTGCGAAGTTCATCTCCCTCATAGATATGTCTAAACTCTGCCATCTGCAGAACATTGACTCAGCCCTAAATTCTGGAATGTCCAGAGGGGCATAAATGCAAATTTAGTTGTAGAGATAGCTCAAGGGTTTACCAGTTCCTAAAAGTGAACACACGATTCTCCATCTCAGGTACATTTTTGAGTGATAGATGCTGAGCACGGATCTGTATGAGGTGCTGTGCTAAGAACTCTAGATGTGGTAACGTGTTTAACTCTCACAATGAATGTTTGAGGTTCGACGGTCTACAGGGATCTCCATTTCAAAATGGTGATATGCTTGGCACGTCCAAGGCCACACACCTAGTAAAGTGTGTGGATATCAACTCAGAACTGTGTGACTCTACCATCCATAATCTTGACTGCGATGCTATGCTGCCTCCTCTAAGGAAGATACATAAAATACATATTCACACACAAATGATCCCTTAATAATGGTCCTGTGGCCCAAATGTCATTCTGGTTTGTGATCTCTTCCTGTCCAGTGGCCCCCTTTCCACTCAGATCCCCAGCTAACCTTTCACCTCCTTCACAACCTCTAAATGTCAAACAAGTTTTCATTTTGACAAGACACTGAGAACGTTATATTTTGTGCTGTCCCAGGTTATTTCATGACTCTTTCCTTTTCCTTCCCAAGAAGGAAGACAAACATTCATGTGATGATTCTGGCCCAGAATCCTTCCCTGGTAACTGACAGTGAGCTGATCAGTAGCTCCTCAGAGTCCTCACTGCACCGATGGCCAACAGTGAGTTCATGGCATTGCTATTTGGTGGCTCCAAAGAAGGTCTTGAGAGAAAATGAATTTATCATCTCTCAACCTCCCCTCCAGGGACTCCTACCTTACTGCTTCCCACTGGAAGCCTTCGGAAGCCCTTTGTACTGTCAAATAGCATCATTTCTCTTGGCAGTGCTAAATTATTGAGACAATCCTGTTTTTTAAAAATGTCACTTTTGTGCAGGTACTTGGTTAAATCATGTGTGCTTTGGTCTTGTATATTCAGTCTGGTAGCAGAAAGTTAATTTTTTTCTTCTTTTGGAGTTGGAGTTTTCATCATTGAAACAAAAAATGGGTCCTAAAACTGTCACCCATGAAGAAATCTCAGAAAACACCGCCCTGTTGCTTTCTTCTTGCCGGAGTTTGGTGGACCTAACTTTAATATATTTTAGTTGATAGGACTGGTTTGTTCAACTGGTTTGAACATCATTCTAACAAGGCATACAGTCTACCTCTGTAGAATCTGTTAGTGTATCCTCCTGGGCCCTGAACGCCGTCTCCTTGTAAATCCACTCACCGCTCACATCCTCACTCCAAGCACGTGCCTCGTGGACATCACATTTAGGGCACAAAAGACTGTGTGTTCTGAAGTTGATAGCGTTAAGCATCTTGCTTACTGGAGGTACTCGGGGAGAGAAGGGCAGTAAATTCAAAGGAAGATACCATCTAAATGATAATGCGCATATGGCTTGTCCATTCGGAAGACACACAGAAAATGGACGGAAGCAGACACAATACAGTGACCTGGGGTAGCGAAATGACAAAGAACTGTGAACTGCTTCCCATTTCTTGAATGTCCTGATCACACTCTCTGGGCAGGAGGGAGATGTTCCCTTGTTCACATACAGACAGACATTTATGTGAGCAGGGAAAACGCAGCTCGGACAGGCTGGCAGCAAGCTGAAACCATTATTCCAGCTGATTCCAGGCCATAGGATGCCTGGATGCTCAATGCTGTCAGTCCCTACCATTAAAAAAAAAACAACAAAAAACCAAACCATGATCTTAAGAATTGTTAGCCACCATTTGCTGTTTAAGACAGTAAAACCTCTTCTTTAGGTTTTTGGACAGTTGCTCAAGTTTCAATCCCTGAAACCTGGAGGTCTGGATATGAAGAGAGTCATACTGAAGAATTTTTTACTTTTAAGGATAGTCTTCATTGTGATGCAGTCTGTTTCTTACTGCTCATTCAGTACAGACACATGCATTAGGTACTCAGTGGCTGTAACACTGTCACCCTAATTTGTGTGGTTCAGCTGACATAATTTTCCTTTTTCATTTGCTCTGAACTGCTACACATAACAATAAGTTTGAGGATTAACTTTCTATTTCAGAAATGATGACGTAGGTTTCCCCAATCAGAATTTGCTCCACTGAGTTTGTTACCAAGTAGCAGTCATGGTGATTTCCTGTGCCTTCGGTTTAATTCTTTTTCAAGCTTTTCTACCCTTTGACATGTTTCTTGAACAAAGACCAACTTGTGATCTTGTGATGTCTCTTTTTAGAACACCCAAGAAGTGGGGATTTCCAAAAGTTTCTAAAGCCAGAAAATCCTGCCCCCAAGATCCGTCCCACCAGAGGTAAGTTGTTGCCAAACCAAATGCAGGTCCCATGTCTGCAGGGGACCAAAATTAATACTTAAGACAGAACTATGGGATCATACTTGTGAACCAATCTCACAGATACTGACTTACCTGCAATTTCTTAGAATTTAAAGAGGAAAAACTACAATAGTGGTACAGTTTGGAAAATAATTGAGTCTGTTCAAGCAGTGGACTTACTGTCAGTAATCATGAAGGATTTGCATGAAGACACCCTCAGTCCCTTTCTTCTGCTATTTCTCAGCTCTTCCAGCAGGTGTCACTATAATCACAGAACAAACATTCCACAGCATGGTATGTAACTTTATTTTTCTAGCATAATAATTTAAAGTATTTACACACTGCACACTCACTGTTTTACACAGATACTTATTCATATACCTATGAACCACATCTAAAGGTTTCTTTGCAAAGACTCGACACACTGCGGGGGTTTCCAAGCATAACAAAGAGAAGGAAAGGACAAAAAAATGTTCTGAGTCTTTTAAAGACAGCCATGTGGAGCATCTGTGAAAACCAGTGTTTTCCCACAAGTTTTAAGCTCCCCCAGAAGACCTTTGAACAACTACAGCCTACCTACGTGTTGGTATGACCCGAAACTCTTCTGGTTAAGGAGGATTTCGAAAACCAATGTCCAAGTAGCATTTTCTTTAGACATTCTAGAAAAGAAACAAGAGACGATAAACCAGGCCCTTCTCAAGAGAAATACCAGTATTTCTGATACAGTTATCTGCGGGCATGACTGCATCATACAGGGACACTGATTATACAGGGGGAATAGCTAAACTCACTGGTACTAACCCTAGTGATGAAGAGGACGCTTGTAAGCATCCTTTCCAGGAAAATGATATGGCAAAACCACCCAATTTCCTTTTCTCAGCTGTGAATAGAGGTGGTTGTTTTGCTTTCCCTGACAAGGACAAAGGTATATTAATCATATACACTCTAAACCCAGATACTGTAGAAACATCTACTATTATTTTTACTTCACTTTTAGACTATTTGCACAAAAATAGTGGTTAGAAGTACCCTAAATACTTTTCCTTCTTCATTCTACTCAATTACATAACAAAATCACCAGCTAACTATAGCTTCTGAACCTGGCACGTGGTTCTGTAGGTGAACAAAAGCAGTCACAGTTCAGAGCTGATGGAAGGTAGGCCCCCCAGTCCAGCCTCTATAAAAGGGTAACAGGTTTAGGTTTCAACTCTCTGGCACTGCATTCTTAGTAAGAAGCAGGACACCTTCACAATTTTCCCAAACAGGTCAAGACTACTCTCTCATGTACCAGAAGGTTGAGAGGTTTGCTGCCTCTGGATGCATCCACAGCTCCATCCTGTGACTGAATGATAGGTCAGCTCACAGAGAAACAGAACTTCACAGAATGACACCCTCCTTTCCTGCCAGTCTGGGCCTCTGGCAGTGCCATATCAACAGGACAAGGGAAGGGAAGACACTATCTGGCCAACTAAAACCAAGCACAGTCTTGACCCAAACTGCTAAGTATTGAAAGTTCATTAATTTTTGCTTGCATTTATGTAAATGATTAAGGGAAAGGACACATTCTATCACTTCTTCTTGGAACCAAACATTTACATTTTAGATCTAACAATGTAAACCTACCCATCCTGCAGTTCACCATCTCACTGTGCTTGCCTTTTGCTGGTGGTGCTTTCCTTTTGCAAGAGATGCCAACAATGCAATGAAAGAGGCAAAGAGATAAGTTTACTTTACAGTGATTTCACCAAGTTATGTGAGCAACTGACTACATAATATTCACCTACAGACGTTAAGAGGGAGAATAACTGATTACACAAAGACACCACCTGGGGTGCAACGCTGCCCAACGAGAATGTCTGGACTAACCTGCACCCAGAGTTAGCTGCGTACGGAGTCAGGCCAAGGAAGCTCTTCTGTCTTGAATGCCCTAGTCCATTTCATCATGCACACAGATTCATCAAAAACTGTAAGACCATGGTGCAAAGGGCAAAGAAGAGTGGAAAACTTGGTGATAGGATCTCGGCCTTGATATTAAAGAAAGAACCTAACAAACCCCAGTCCCTGGGCTCCTAAGGTGAGACTGGGTAGGGCTTATTGGAGTGGACCCTGGGAACAGTGTGTTTCTGGGCCCAAGAACCATGGAAGTGAAGGCTAAGAACGTGGGCTTGAACAAATTACAGAGGTAAGAAAAAGGCCTGATTACTAAACTTATGTTTTTGCAGTTAGTTTGTTCAAGGCAGAATAGAGTTAAAAGAGAGGAAAAGCTACAGTTTAAACAGGGGTATGGGGTGACAAAGTCCGGGAGCTACTGGGGTCTAGCAATGCCTGGTATTTATCTATGAAATTGCCATTGCCAGCCCCTTTTGACCTATAAAAACAGCAGTTTCATATGGTTCAACCTACCATACTCTTAAGTGCTGAGCTATAACAATCATTCCTAGTTACTAAGAACTGTATTAATATTCTCCCCACCTTCTGAGAAAGTGACAGCTGTTAAAGAGGGAGAGGGCTTCCTAGAGATCAGTGTTTAACAGCACCAAAATCACCCGAAGAGGGGTTAACTGTCCTTCCAAATCAAGTGGGGGCAGAAGAAGGGGGTGAAGACCTAGCTCAAAGGAACGAGGCGGCTGCACTTGGAGGCGGCAGGTGAGAGCCGCACGTGTGGCGATGAGCAGCAGCAGGAAAGGACAGGAGGGCGCAGCCAAGAAGAGCCACAGACAACGTCGCCGATCATCTTCAGAGGGAACGCTGCATATGATGTCTGTGCATAGGTACTGTATACATACTAACCAGGTACACACATAAATATTTAATATATAAAAAATAAAGTGCTTTCTAACAGGTCCCAGGAAGGGACATTATAAAACATTTCACAAAACTGCAAAACAAAATCGATACAATCAAAGAACACTACATCCAACATACGTGAGAACAGTCAAACACAATATGTACAATCAGGTGGGTGTCCCAGGACAAACATCCTGCCATATACATGGTATATACATATATACTCTTTTACTCAATATATTATGACAATATATATTTTAAAATTTTGTTACAGACAAAAAAAAATTAAAATAAAAAAGAAAAAAACAGAAGACAACCCCTACAAAGACACAATAAGGATCAAGCAGGCGAGTCCTAGACTGACAGACACACAGCTGCTGCCGCGGGGGGCGCCCCGGCTGCTGCTGGGGAAAATGTGCCAGCGCTCCTTCCTGGGGTGCAACGCCTCCACGTCCTCCAAGGCACTGTGGGCTGCGGCGGTGAAGTTGGCGTCGCCGGTGGTGAGCAGGTCAAAGACACAGGACTGGAAGTAGATGTCCTTCACCGGCATCTTCTCGTGGCACTGCGCGTTGGCGCTCTCCAGTGTGTAGCCCGGCCAGGCCGGGGCCGGGGAGGAGCGGGGCGGGCTGTGTCCCAGGATGGCGGACACCTGGCCCTGCCCGTCGTCGATGCGCTCGCTCAGGGGGCAGCCGTTCACGCACAGCTGCAGGTCCTGGCTCTCCTCGTAGGACATGGCCAGGTCTTCGGGCATGCGGATGGCCAGGGTCAAGTAGCGACCCAGCTGCCGCACGAACACCGTGGTCCCTATGTAGCGGGCGTGCATCTCCACGTAGCGGCCACTCTCCCTCTCCACGATGCGCAGGCTCTTGGCGTCGCCGTCCCCACCACTGGTGCTGCCGTCCACAAAGGCGGCCGGCAGGTCATCTGTCACAGCTTGGTACACCTTCTGATCGGTGCACTCAGGGTGGGCTTTGAAGATAATCGTGATCTGTGGGAAGCAATGTGTACAAAGTTTAACACGAGGGCAGGACCATAGGATGGTCCACGCCTCCAGAGCAAGAGTTGAATGGCTCCATTCTGGAGTCGAACGGCTGGAGAGACAATCTCCAAACTCAGCCCATTTGCTCCTGCCTCACAGGTGAATGGCGTCACTGTTAGGGAAAATTATAAGTCCTGTGTATTTACAATGAAAATTTTAACAGAGATCCTGGGAATGTGCAACAGGAAAATTTTTTTCTTTACTTTCCTAAGAACAGTGCTGCTGTTGGGATAAAAGCAATTTTTTTTACTTGCATTTATTTAGTGATTGATTGAGGTACTGGGGACTGAACCCATGGCCTCCTGCATGCTAAGCATGGGCTCTACCACTGAGCTATATCTCTTCCCCTGGGATACAGGCAATCTTTATTGATAATTTGTATCTTATCTCCTCCTAAAAACAGATGAGGCATGGTATAGTTCTGAGGGGGGAAAAAAAGATTCCTGAGTTATGCAGAAGCCCTTAAAGGCTTAATTAACAATATACCTTCCAGAACTTTGATTTCTAAAAAGATTCTGTTGGACTGTAAAACCATATCCCATGTCTCATCACTACAAACTTGCTCATCAACACTGAGGAAGAAGAGGAGAGCTGGGGAGGGGGCTGTCCCAGCAACAGCTAGCAATCACGTGCCTCAGGAAAGACTTCTCTAAGCCCCTTAATCAAATGTTGCGCATGACTAACTAATCCCCGTGACAGGGAAACCACTTGGCAAATGCAGCTCCCAGCACTGGCAGAGAGTAAGTACCCTAAACCTAGTTACAGCAAATGTTTTCCCCAAACAGTACCAGGTCCTTTCAACTTCCCCGAAATCTGTTCCCCTGTCATCTCTTAACTCTCCAAATGAAGCAGACAATTCATGGAGAACAAACTACTGATGAGGTAAAAACTTCTCTTTGGTGAATCCATTTTCTTTCTTTAATTAGAACACTTACTTAAAGATGCACTTGGAGCACCTTTACCTCCAACATCCTCAGCATCTCTGGTACAGGTGAAGGAAGGAAGACCACCAGGAAGAGACAGGGCTTTCTGGGGCTCACAAGGTGGGAAAATGGTCCCAAAGGAAAGGAAAAAGACTACATTTGGACATTTGAGTTATTATCAGTAACTGAGAGAATAGCTTATTCTTCTTCTTGAGGGAAAAAAGAAGAATCAGGTGACTTCAGTCAAGGAGTCAGGTAGACAGACACAGGCCAAACATGCTACAAGTGACTACAAGCACGAGAGGGACCCTCCCACCTCCTGCAAGGGACCTAATCAAAACAATGGATCCTTGTTAAAAAGACCAGAAAATGTGCTGGCCCTGCTCCCCACCCTTTCTCTACAAGTCCTCACCACCGCCCTCAAGTTTATGTCTCAAGCTTTCTCCCCAACTTGGCCAGCATTTGCTCACACGATTTAATTCCACATGCTCCCACTGGTGCTACTTGACTAGAATTTTCCAGCCATTTCATCTCACTTCAGCCAGTTATAAAGCCAGATCTGAACCAGCTGTGCTGCAGCAACTGGTTAAATTCATATCCGTTGTTTGCAGCTGCAACTAAAAGCCAGACAATGTGCTGTGAAAATGCGTGGTTTTCTCCCTTCCTAATTAACCTGAGCCACAGTTTAATTTCACGACCAGCCTTCTCACATTTCAACACCTTCTTAACAACCTGAAGGAGGTGTACCAGAGATGATTTCAGGAAATTTGTTGTGCATCCAACCATAGGACCTTCCACAGCGAATGGAATTTTGAGCTAGATATCTAACGGGACTATAAAACAGATTTATTTGGTGGCTCTAAAGACAGTTTGACAAGTGTTTTTTTTTGCTTTGTTTTGTTTCTTTTAAGGCAAGCTGGGATCCGTCAGAGGTGAAAAGTTAATTCAAGTAAATTCTGCACCTGAAAGAGTTGAAAGTCAATACAGATGGCTAAAATAAGGGTCAGTAATAGACTCTTCATAGAATTGCTACCCACATTTTCAACTAGAACATTCACACTCAAGGAATAAATGAACTCTTCTACAACAGCTAAGTAATCTGTTCTAGTCTAACAAAGCTCAAATTTAAACCACCTTGGCATTTTTTGTTCACCTTAGGAAAATGAAAGAGGAATTAGTTTTGTTGGGACAACACAGTAGAGAGATCCAATTCCAAACAAGTTTCCAAAAAGACAAGCAAGGGTCAAGAGTGCACCACTCCACGTCTCATCTAGTCTCTGTTGTTTTCATTAGAAACACCAATTCCAATTCAGGAGTCACTGCAAACACCTCTCACATTATTGTCCTCTGCTATGCCTGTGACACGAACAGGAACTCCCACCCTCTAGAAGATCAAGTGAAACTTAAAGATTGACCTCTGCACTACTACCTACACTTACAGAACACTCCAGTTTACCTAACAGGTTTTTGTCTGTCTGTCCAGTTTCCTAGGCGTGTTTTCTCTATGACACAACGAATCTGGTATTTCTCTTGTTGTTCCTCTTCTAGGTGAAATACTTTCTCACAGAGCATACATGCCCTTGAATCAAAATGCTGAGGCTGACGGATTGATCTCAAAGCACGAGAGAGGTTTCCTGAGTGGTCCTCTGTAGTTGAAGTAGGTACTGAAGAGGTACCTAGAGATACAATCAATGTCAATGCAGAAAACACTGGGTAACAGTTTCACATGTCTTCCAAGTTTTGTAATGTAATTTCATTCCTCATACAATTACAACTTCAGGTCTGAAAAAGCAAGCACTCAGCCATGAAGGGTCAGAAATTCATTTTCAGATTCTGTCTCCTTCAGAAATACGTAACTTATTCACTCTTAATAATTCTTACTTTAAAAACATTCAAAATTTAATTGGAATATTTGGAAATTCCACACGTTTTACCTTTCCAACTGGCGGCCATAGGAGGGTAAAAACAGGACATTCAAAATTGGATTCTAAAGCTCTCAAACAGACCATTTAAAGACATCAGCTATGCTACTCACTCCCCCTTCTAGAACTGATGCAAATGCTGTAATAACTCAATTTGGCACATCTGTTCTATGCCACACCATTTATTATTGATGGATGGCATTTCTGTGCATTTAAAACATCAATGCCTTTTGTTAAACCTCCCCTACCCAGCCCCTCCCAAACCCCCACCTCAGACAACCCACTCCAGTCTCCTCATTCATTTTTAATGCCTCACTCCCTGAGATCTTTACCACCCACAGGGTCTCTTAGGAAGAAAAAGATAGCAGCTACAAATCAACATTTCTACATGTGAAAGGCAATGCGGAGTTAAGGTCTGCTGTGAAATACCAATATTTAGAGGCACCTGCCTCTCCTTTCTACCAGGAAAAAGAAAAACAAAAATCAACAAAAAAAACGAGGTAGCCAACAAAAAGGAGAGCCAGGCGCTCACTGCCTTGCCAATGCACAGACAGAGCTTCCTCAGGCTCAGCCAGCCCTGCAAAGTGCTGCACAGAGGTTTTCAAACAGCAGAATTCCCCACAGGCTGTGCACTTAACTCTTTGTGCTTATTGTATTTTGGAGGAAACATTTATCGGTGTTTAATCAGGCCATTTTGCACTGCAAAACAAGTGCAGGACCTTCCCGGAATCCTCAAATACCACAACTGGACTTTTAGATCATGGGACTCCCACCTCCTGGATTAAGATGGGCCAGCAAACTGAACTGAAATAATCAGAGAAATCAGTTTGGAACACAGGAAAACACAATTTTGATATGTACCTGGTTAAAATTCTGCTTGTGTTAAAGGAATCTAAAATGAATTTTATTTCATATAATTAGCTGATACAGCTACTTCCTCAGATCCTCTGGGTGCAATTACAGGCCATGACAACAGGCGACTGTGGGAGACGTAGCTGACCTGTGCCTGTGGCCCCTCTGCTCTGACCCAGCTCAGGGGCAGCTCCTACAAGCCAACCGCGAGGCTAAGCAAAAAAGAAATCATTCCAACAAGACCACATGCTTCAAAGGAAAAACATGCGTGCTCTATCTCCAGCTCTGAAACACCTAATCTTTACTTCTGAGGGCCGATCTTTCTAAACGTGGAGAAGTCAGAGCCTAGGGAGCCCTGAAGCACGGAGAGGAAGTAGAGGCCTTTGAAGGCACCTCTTCCAGTGTTTGCCCTGGTTACCCACCCCTTGCCCGCGTCCCCGCCTGGCAGAGAAATCAGGCATGTGTATCTCAGACGGAGAACTCTGGACCTCTCTATCTTGAAACAAGAGCAGGAAACAAGAGCATATTCAGCTAGAAAAACTTCCTGTTTGAACAACTTCATATAAAAATGTAGGAGATGGTATGTACCATATTTAAGGGTAAAAAATGTTGGGTTGGTTAATAATTGGTGCTATTGACACTTTTCCTGAAAAACTAAGAAAAAAATCCACTAGAAAGGTGTGAACTTAATAAACTGGATGTCATTTTACCATCACTCTCAGCCTATATGTCAGCTATCTACCTACAGGAAGTCTGAACTTAAGACCTACAAAAGTGTATTTTTTCTTAAATAACTTCATTGGACTAGGACAAGAGACTAACAGGAAGACAGGAGTACATGTGTTTAAAAGAAGTGTGGTAGGGAAAAAATCACTCTAGAATCCTTTTAGGGCTTGAATTAGACTATAAGAACGTTTTCCCTTCTAAAGAGGTAACAAAATAGGTTTCTCTACCCTGACGAGTCTCTTTCTATAGAGCTCTTGGTCTAGGAGCACTTACAGGATTCCAGAGAAATGGAATGGATCAGACTTCTTTATTCCTCAGTGTTGCCCTAGGTAATGCATGCAGGAACAAGGGCTGCCTTGGCTGCTGGAGGGGTTCTTGGCAGCAGATGGAGAAAGAAGAAACCAAACCAGAGGGGAAGGACACCCACAGCTGAGGCTGCTAGGGTGGTCCAGGGGAGAAGGGGAGAAGCATTAAGCTCAGTGGTTGGAAAGAGCATGAGAGAGAGAGAGAAGCAAGCCCAGGGATG